GAACTCAGGAAAAAAACCTAAAGCAAACTCAACCATTTCGACTGCACTTTGACTACATTTGTTTTATTGTCTGTTTAGCTAATAGAGCGCGAGAGTTTGTTTTGAGTTAAAAAAAACCTGATTTCCAAGGCAAAATAATCGCAAAAGTTTCAAAAAAGAAGGATATGTACAATGTAGAAATTGCAATGTGCAGTTTGGTAATTTCCGGAGGAAACTGAAGAACACTGATATCGGCCTGACCTTGAAAGTATTTTCCAGTTGGGTAAATTTGGGTGTTTTCTAGTTGGTATTTGTCAGTGTATCTGGCCAGGTGCTTAGGATGCGGTCACACAGTACGTTCGTGTTTTTCAGGGGGATTGCTATGGTTAGTCAGTCCATCAGTGTATTTGAGGGAAATAGGCTTGCGCATTGAACTCCCTATTTGCACATAAATAATCGACAAACAGGCAAATATGTGTAAAAATTACAGCATTAAATAAAGGTAGACATTGATTCACACATGTCACTGGTCTCATGGCTTAAAAGTCACATAGTCCGCTTGTTGCTTCAGCATATGTCTGTCGAGCCGGTATATACATATCTCCACAGACTGAGACACGACAATCGTCTCGGTCAGGTTATTCCACGGTTCCACGACACGGTTGGAGAAGAAGTATTTTCTCACATTCAATCTACCCGGGGGCACACGTAGCTTGAAGGGATGTCCCCCGAGGTCAGTTGTAGTGGCGAGTTGGGAAAATTAATCGCACCAAATGGCACAGTCAAAGCCACGCACTATACGGAAAGTTTGTATGAAGTCTCCGCGCAACTGCCTCTAACTCGGAGGATAGAGATTAAGGTTAGTTAAGCGGATCTGGTATGGCGGCACTGCTTGACATCCCATTAATTTTATTGCTCGCCTCTGCACCCTCTTCGAGCAGATTGTAATCCTGATATGTCCTCGGTCTCCAGGCCTGAATTGCATATTTGAGATGCGGTCTAACAAACATGCGAAGATTTTGAGGAAGCAATCTTCATCGGAAACTGAATGTCCACTTGGTGGCATATATATTTGAAGTTGCGGCCTTGGCCGCCTAACAACACTGTGTAGAAGGCTTTAGGTTGTTTGCAACCCAGACTCCGAGATCTTTCTGCGTTTCTCCTCTCTGAACTAAGAACTGGAAAAGATAAATTTATATCAGGGGTAAGAAACATTCAATGGTAAGTCACAATCAAAGCCGTCAAAATAATAGTGTATCATGTATCATATTAGTGGAGTAATGGTCGACTGTTTACAGTGACGTCATGTAGTTGTATATATGTTTAATATGGCCATTATATAGACTTACGAACAACAAATATGCAGGGTTTTAGCGAAAGGAATGTTATTATTACCCCCTTAAGCGAAATTTAGTGTCAGGTGACAGAGCTGATGGAAACGAGAAAGGCAGGAAGGGAAGCATATCATTCTCTGTTTTATGATTACCAGTGATGTTGTTTTTTCATAAATGTCATTGTTTCTAGTACTGTTTCGGTATTATTCACACGGCTGGCAACATCAGAGTTCTTTTGGATCAAATTTTATATCAAGGAATTGACCTGAAAAATATCATATCTTATTCGAAAATGAATGTGTATTGTTATCTGAAAGGAATTTCTTAGTTTTTATTTCAAACTCTATTAGGGTTCGATTTTTCCGGATAGAACTTGGAGGAGAGTTTCAGATAGTGGCATATCTTAGTGAGTAGAAATTTGACCGCTGGGACTTTGAGAATTTGGGGATCCTTATAATATCTTCGCTATTTCTCTGTTTCCCGGGGGGTTTTGGTTTGTCAGTAAATTCGTTTTGAAAATATCTTGGTCAGGGGTGATCTTAAATAGGAAGTTTAAACCATGTTGTAGTCCTTTGATCCAGAGGGTTTGAAAACCGTATTTATGATATAGTTCTAAGCATGAACCCTGTGTGCCATCAGTTCTGGAAAAAGATCTAATAAAACGTCTCTGAATGCCTTCTAGTTTCTTTTGGCCGTCAGAGGGCATTATACCGAAGGAAATTAAACAATAATCTAAGCGAGGTAAAACGTATATTTTGAAAAGTTGTATGCGCATGCGCATTTAAGGTGAAATTTGTACATATGAATCCACACGGGCGGGTGGCTTTCGGTGATATTTGTTGGACGTGTATATGTATATATTGACGGGTTACAGGCAGAGCCATTGATGACCCTATTTATGTACAGTGCCTTCGCAGATTCATACTCAAAAATAATATTAAAATTGCAGGAATTTAAAATGTGATTGGGTCATAATTCGATCGTAATCATAAGTTAATGCATAGGGTCACTGTAAATTAGTGCGGAAGATTGTATATGACAGATTTTACAAAACTGTTTGTGCATAGTCATGCTGTACAAGCTGATTTCTTTCGAAAACTAGACGAGCAAGTTTTCTTTTAAACACATAAACTGTGTCAGCCGTCACCATCTCGCTTGGAAGCGAGTTCCATGGCCTGACAACCCGCTGGCTGAAAGAACATTTTCGTCGGTCTAAACGCGTGCGCTCATTCCCGACTTTGTATGCATGGCCGCGTAGTTGGTTTGTACGAGCAAACTCAAAGATATCCTCTGCTTTTAATGAGCAACCCTGGCTGCGAACAATCCGGAACGTCCAGAGCAGACTGCAGTTTATTTGTCTATAAGAGAGAGGGAATTGACCAAGCAAATTCAGCCTCTCCTGATAAGACAAATGTTTTAGACCGTCGACCATCTTTGTCGCTCTGCGTTGCACCTGTTCGAGTAAGTTGATATCCTTCCTCATACATGGTGAAGCTGCTGGAATTCCATACTCTAGATGAGGTCTTACAAAGACACCATAGAGTCTTTCGGAAAGTTCGGGAGGAAATATTTTAAATGCACGTCTGATCCAGTGTAGAGTACTAGTTGCCTTCTGGACCATCTCTCTACAGTGTTCTGATGACGATCGATTTGTGGTCGTCCATACACCCAGATCTCTGTGTCTTTCCACAGTTTCTAACCTCGTCCCGTCAATATAGTACTGGTGTTTGGGAGAGGCATTGCGGCCGGTGTTCAGGTGCAAAACCACGCATTTGGACACGTTAAACTTCAAAAGCCATCTGTTCGACCAATCACACAGTTTGTTGATGTTCGACTGCAACTTCTCTGCGTCATCATCACACTTGACTTCACTCCTACTCCGGTCAAATGCAATTTTTCCGGACAAGTGGAAATAATTAACCATTGCACCTATCTTTAGAAGCGGCAGTCGATCTCATACCCAAAACTATCGTGATGTTTACTGAACACCGTCAATAATTCAAGGGCATTTCTATAGCTGAGACTTAAGTTTTTTATCGATTGGGCTTCTGTTACTTCATTGTCCTCGGATAATATGGGGGAAGTTCTTGTGGGCCAAAGATCAGGAGATACCATTTTTCGAGTGGAAAGCGCACGGCCATTGGGTACCCCATGGGCTGAGTTTTATGAGATCGGTTTCAATTGCTCTATGAATATTGGCTACTGTATTCCCGTTATATGCATATACAAGTTTCAGGTAGTCCGCATATAAAAACTTCTTAGCTGAGACAGATATTTACGATAAGTTGAGAATATATACGACAAATAGAAGGAAACCTAGGATAGTGCCTTGAAGTACTCCACTGGTAAAAGGGGACGGTTCTGAGACTACGTTTCGAATGTGCACCACTTGATATCAGTTTTAAAGATAGGATTTAATAAAATCAAATAAGGGAGGCTTAATTCCACGACTTATTGGCTTTATCAGCAGTCTTTTCTGGAGGACTTTGTCGGAGGTCTTTCTTAGATCGAACCATATTGAAGCTACTGTGTTTCCATCTCTATTGCTGGAAACGAATTCCGCAAAGTAAGGTGGCAGAAATGAGATGACTGTTTAGGTAAAAATGCATGTTGACATGAACGAATGATTTTATCGTCTATGAGGTGGTCCATCAATTGGTCGTACATCGATTATTTTCTCAAGTATTTAGCTATTAACGGTGTTCAGTAAACATCACGATAGTTTTGGGAATGAGATCGGCTGCCGCTTTTAAAGATAGGTGCAATGGTCGAGTATTTCCACATGTCCGGAAAAATTGCATTTGACCGGAGTAGGGTGAATAATTTAGAAATATTGGAGCATATGTCATATGCTTCAGAATACATGGCGAGATTTTGTCCGTTCCATAAGAGTTGGCGTTAGATAGTTGTTTGGTGGCTACTGTAACAGTTTATTCACTAAAACGGATCTCACTAACGATGTGCTCTGTCATCTCGGTCGGTTGGGGAATCGCTCCATCCTCGACTATGTAGTACAGTTCGTGACCTCTCTGATGAAATGTCGCGAACTGTGAACTTAAATCGCTGCAGCGCACGATACTGTCACCCCGCATCCACGAAAGTTACACTGCGTTAAATATACGACCGAGTTTCGAAACAAGGTATAGTTTGGTTTATAAAGTATTATTAATTGACTAAGAAATTACTTATTTTAGGAGAAACCACCAAATCAAAGAATCGACTGTATGCCAGGCCTACTATTCAGGGTTTAATATAACTGTCAGCAGAGAACGGAAATTTCACAAAAGGACAAAAAATGAAAAAGCAGTAACAAATGCAACGTGTTAGTACTTTGTTGATTGTCCTTTAGCTTTTAAAGTTGCTGTGGGTCGGGAGGGCATGGAGACTACCAAGTTGTCTATGGTGGTTTGGTCTATGTAATTATTAAGCAAAAATTGCAACTTTTGTTGCATAGAAAATTGTTTCCTTGCCTTGTCCCAATTTCTTTTGATTAATGCAACAAGATTTTCGATGGGATTTAGGTCCGGGCTGTCGGCGGGGATAAAAATGCTTCGAATACCGCAGGCAGAGAGGCTGGCTGCGATCTAAAATATTAGATTTTAGTCGTAAGATGGATTGAAATCACACCACCTTTGAGCGGTGGGCAAAAGCATTATCCTGTAACATTGCAGTGTCCATTCGACGTCTATGATTGTCGTTGTAACCGAAGACATCCTTTACGATGTCGATAAACACCTTGCTATTAATCGTCATCTCGAAGATGCGTATTCGCCTACAGCCTCGCAGGAGGCCACAAGGTAAGCGACCCCCAGGTAAGCTGAATGTTGCTTTGTTGTCTTTGTCTGCTCACCGTCTCCATTTCAGCAATGAGCTAGCTCACCGTCTAGACAACCTTCCTATCGCTGCCGCCGCCGACGACGCCGCCGCCGCTGCAGAGAACGCCTCCGTGGAGAACCGCTGGTGTCAACTGCGTGACACGGTCCAGTCGACGGCGCTCGCCGTCTTCGGTCGCGCTCCCCGCCAACACCAGGACTGGTTCGACGACAACGACGCTGCCATCAGAAATCTGCTTGCCGAGAAGAACCGCCTACACCAAGCCTACGTAGAGCACCCAACTGAGGGCAACAAAGCTGCCTTCTACCGCAGTCGCCGACAGCTTCAGCAACGACTGCGCGAGATGCAGGACGCCTGGACTGCTCGCAAAGCTGAGGAGATCCAAGGCTACGCGGACCGCAACGAATGGAAGAACTTCTTCTCCGCGATCAAAGCTGTCTACGGTCCGCCGACGAAGGGCACTGCTCCTCTCCTCAGCGCCGACGGCAGCACTCTCCTGACTGAGAAGACGCAAATCCTGCAGCGATGAGCCGGGCACTTCCGAGGCGTCCTCAACCGCCCTTCCGTCATCTCCGACGCCGCCATCGCCCGCTTGCCGCAAGTGGCGACCAACGTTGACCTCGACCTCCCGCCATCTCTCCAGGAAACGATCAGGGCCGTGCAGCAGCTCTCCAGCGGGAAAGCACCCGGATCGGACGCAATCACTGCTGAGGTCTACAAGCACGGAGGTCCCCTACTGATGGATCACCTGACTGCGCTCTTCCAGGAGATGTGGCGTCAAGGTGAAGTCCCGCAAGATTTCAAGGACGCAACTATCGTGCACCTATACAAGCGCAAAGGGAATCGCCAAGTCTGCGACAACCACCGCGGCATCTCCCTACTGAACATCGCCGGGAAGATCTTCGCTCGCATCCTGCTCAACCGCCTCAACAACCATCTGGAACAGGGCCTCCTGCCGGAAAGCCAATGCGGCTTCCGTCGTCATCGTGGGACCACGGATATGATCTTCGCCGCCCGCCAACTTCAGGAGAAGTGCCAGGAGATGCGGACCCACCTATACTCTACATTCGTGGACCTGACGAAAGCCTTCGACACGGTGAATCGTGAAGGACTGTGGAAGATTATGCAGAAATTCGGCTGTCCGGAGCGATTCACTCAGATGGTGCGTCAGCTGCACGACGGTATGATGGCGCGAGTCACAGACAACGGAGCTGTCTCAGAGGCATTCGCAGTGACCAACGGAGTGAAGCAGGGCTGTGTGCTGGCGCCTACCCTCTTCAGTCTCATGTTCTCTGCCATGCTGATGGATGCCTACCGCGACGAACGCCCTGGAATCCGCATCGCCTACAGAACGGACGGTCATCTCCTGAATCGCCGGCGCATGAACTTCCAATCGCGTGTATCCACAGCCACCGTGCACGAACTCCTCTTCGCCGACGACTGCGCCTTGAACACCACCTCCGAAGCGGAGATGCAGCGGAGCATGGACCTATTCTCCGCCGCCTGCGAGAACTTTGGGCTGGTTATCAACACGCAGAAGACGGTGGTGATGCATCAGCCGCCTCCCAACTCAGCCACAGCCCCCAACGCGCCGCAAATCAACGTGAATGGGACTCAACTGCAAGTGGTAGAGAACTTCCCGTACCTGGGCAGCACGCTCTCCCGCAACACCAAGATCGACGACGAAGTCGCCAACAGGATCTCGAAAGCCAGTCAAGCCTTCGGTCGCCTCCAAAGCACAGTTTGGAATCGTCATGGTCTCCAACTGAGCACAAAGCTGAAGATGTACAAGGCCGTCATCCTGCCGATGCTACTGTATGGAGCAGAGACCTGGACGGTGTACACGAGCAGGCACGTCGACTAAACCACTTCCACCTCAGCTGTCTCCGCCGCATCCTGAGGCTGAACTGGCAGGACCGCATCCCCGACACCGAAGTGCTGGAACGGACGGGAATTCTGAGCAGCTACTCCATGTTGAGACAAATGCAGCTGCGCTGGAGCGGCCATCTGGTGCGCATGGACGACGAGCGACTACCCAAACGACTCTTCTACGGAGACGTCGCGACGGGTTCTCGTCGTCAAGGAGGCCAAATTCGCCGTTACAAAGATACTCTGAAGTCCTCCCTGAAGCGCCTGCACATCAACCCGACCAACTGGGAAGAGCTCGCCCGCGATCGTCCGACATGGAGGAGAACAGTGAAGACGGGCGCTGCTATATACGAAGCCAACCGAATCGCTGCCGGCAAAGCGAAACGCGAAGCCCGCAAATCACAACTTCGCCCAGTCCGCAACGCCGCCGCACAACCTCTCTCTACGTGTCCTCGATGTCAACGGACATTCCGGGCACGAATCGGACTTGTTGGACATCTTCGAACCAACTGCACTTCTCGAACTGCTCCAGCCATCGTCCCCGCGCCCGCCTCCTCCTCGTCCTCTCTTCCGCCAACTAACTCTGACACTCCTTCTGCACCACCACTTCCATCCTCCTCCTTCTCCTCCACTGCCCCAACGGTGGCCGTTCAGGCTGCCGTCTCACACATCGCCAACCACGACACAGCAACCGCAACCACCCCCACCTGCCCTCACTGCGACCGCACCTTCACCTCCCACAACGGCCTGGTCGGTCAATTGCGAATCCATCGCACAGAGACTGGTGAACCAGTGCCTGGAGCACCAACCTACACCCACCGCACTCGCCTCCACTGCCCACAATGCCCTCGCACCTTCCGGCATCGCATGGGCCTATTCGGCCACATGCGCATCCACGAAA